GAAATGGTGCCTGGACAATCAGATGCTGCAATCTGGGAAGACACAGAAACCCAGAGATACAGGGGGAAAGGGAGACAGGCAGGCAGGAGGTTGTCAGGACTGTTTTGATGGGACAGAGACCAGCAGCAGATGCTTAAGGAAGGACAGAATATGCTCAGAGCAGTCCCATTCCTCCCTTCAAACTCTGGCAATGTGCAGCTAAACCTGTGCAGTGAACCTGTGTTTTGTGAACAATCGTGTGAAGGCGAAGAAATGGGCAAAGCCAAAGTTTTGGCAGCTGTTTTTGGTGCTGCCCTGTGCAGGTGTCACCCAGCTGGGGCACTGCAGGGAAGGTGGGAGAGCTGCAGAACCTCCCTTGTGAGGTGGTTGCAGCACCCAAAGGTCTGGGTTCCTCTGGCAGCACCACCTTGGACTCCAGCAAGTCGCTTCATATCTCTCAGCCTTGATTTACCCCTGGAAAGTGAGTTTAACAGACTCCTCCACGAAGTAGTCTCAATTAATTAGCATTTGTAAAACTGCTCTGAAATTCCCAGATGAAAGCCTGGCCTGGAATGGCAAATTGCTAATGATAATTAATAGTTGTTCATGGTCTCTTTATGGAATCTCAAATTATTTTCTGAGGGGAAGAAAGTAGGGATAGAGGCTCTCAAGGCAGAGATCACTAAAAAACCCCACGACAGCCATACCTTCCTGCCTGCTCCACCTTCTTTCCCAGAATTAATAGGGAGAACTGACACCTCTTCTGAGCAGAGGGAAGGGGAGGTAATGAAGGCCCCGGGTGCTCCTGCATTCACCACACGTTCCTCCTCTGGCAAAGGATGGAGCTGGGGAAGGGTGGGCAGGGGGAGTGAGGCAGGAGGGGATGAACAGGGGTGTTACATTTCTCTCTCAAATGGATGCAAAGGCAGCCCTAATTAAACAGATGTTCTTAATAATACTCTGACAACTGTCCCTGCTTTAATTTGCTTCACAGTAAAGATTAATATAACAAGGCAACACTACTTTACAAGGGGAGAGAAGGGAGCTGAGCTAATAAAAGGCAGTAGCTTACATGGTATATTATTGCTTTTCTTTCTGCTTGTCTAGTGAATATTTACCTCCTCTGGGAGCAGTTTTCATATTTATTTGATCGCTCCTCCAGGCTACAGCTGACTTTGTGCTACATTGCAGGAGGATTAATGCCGGGGCCAAGAGGTGTTCTGGGTGCACAGGCAGGTTGGGGATCTCCATGGAGACTCTCCAGCCACAGGACAGGTCCCAGAGGTGCTGGAGCCAGCAGAGATATTAACCACAGGCTGTGGGAGCAGGGAATGAATTCCAGGAAACTCCTGTGGCAGTGTCAGGGGAGCCATAGGACACAGGAGGTGGTTTTCAGGCTGTTCCTCGGACCAAAGGAGGGGTTTCCCTGGGCTCAGTGTCACAGGCTGGCATGACAGAGGCAGAAACAGAGAGCCCAGGCAAGCAGGACACAGGGAAGAGCATTCCCAGCTCCTGGGAAGGCGTCAGGACTTCTGTGCACACACTCTCATCTCACCCATCTGCACTGAGTTAGATTAAAATAAGAACAGCTGGACTTCTGCACCTACTCTCCTCTATGCTGGGGGCCAGGAGTTACCAGGTAGGACTCACATCTCCTCTTCTGATCACCCCGAGCATGAACTCGAACCCCAGTGGATGTGGAGGAACCAAACCTCCATCCAACATCACAGCTCACCTTAAGACACAGTGTGACACAAGCCTGGAGTAGGCTATTAAACACATACTCCCAAGCTGCTCTTCACTTTGGTCATAACTCTGGGTAGGCTTGTTAAATAATAAACCAATCCTTGGCTGAGCAACATTCACAGTTGCCCAGTTTGAATTGCACAGAGTTCAGCAGCAAGAAGGAAACCAAGCTCTTCCAAGTGGGAGGGCCCTGTCCAGGACCCACAGGCGAGTTTGGGTCTTTGGTTTGTTCAGGTCATTCAAAAAGGGACCTTTCCACAAACGGGAACTGACCACTTCACTTTTGAAAATGAATTCATCCTAAATGAATATCTGTTTCATATCTAACAGTACAGCACCTTCTAAGACTCTGGGTGACTCGCCCTAGGAAGAGATGGGGAGCACCCCTGGATGAAGTGTCATCCAAATCCAGGCACTCCTCAGCACCACAGGAGTGTGGTGTTCTGAGGAGTGTGGTTCCCTACCCTGGGCCTGAACTGAAATATTCTGCAGAAATTATCTGGCACCTCTGCAAACACTGCCTGTCACTGCTGTGTGTGCTCTTCCATCCCAGCTGCTCCCTCGAGCTGCTTCCCCACTCCTGGAGCTCTTCCTGGCAGATTTAGGCTGGGCATAGCCTGGGGTGGGCTTAGCTCGAGTTTAGCCATGACCCTGGGCTGCAGCTCTACATCTCCCAAATCTTACCTGGGCAAAAAGCCTGTGTGTGTCACAGAGCTTTGCTCCCACACTTTGTTACCTACCGTTCAACGATTCCTTAAATATTTTAAAGCTCCATTTGTCATGCAATTTGTGAAGCTGTTTACGACACCGACGCCCTTAGACAATAAGGGGGGAAGCAGAAGAAAAGAGCAGAAGCTGGCAGCTCCATACATTGCCCTTTGTGGGAATTAATGAGCCTTGTTTACTTCCTGGCTTTTTACAGCTCTCTGAAATGTCAGATGCCCCCCAGACTGCCTTGACAAAATCACATCATCAACCTCCCCCCCACATCCAGCCCCTGGACCTGGGAATCTTCATCCCTGTCCTGACTTTTCACTCCAACCCCCTTCCACGACTGGACCTTTTGAATGTGGTCTCCAAAACATTTTTCCCACTGGGGACTGCAATGCTCATGAAAGGACTCACAATGAGGGGTAACAAACACGTCATTCCACCTGTAGCATTCCTGGAGTTGTTACACTCAGTGGAATCAGCAGCACACAAACACCCCCCACAACCAAAATGCAGGAGGAAGCTCTTCAGACCTTTGCAGCCAAGAGGTTCCCTTTGTCCCTGGTTGAGAGCAGAGACCAAGTTGTGCACGCCCTCTGGAATCACCATGGCTAAATTGATGGGTGCTCCAGGCTTTTTCTTGGTAATTATCTTGCATTGCTCTTGGCTCCCAGTTCATCCAGGAACTATTCCCAGCCCTCCCCACCAGCAGCATCTTTCTGCTGCTACTCCACTTGTCCCCTTCTGCCTTGGCTCAGCTCTGGTGTCCTGGGGTCAGTGAGGAAGAGGAGCTCCAAGCAACCATCCCAAGGCCACGTGCCCCTGGCACACCTCAGTCCTGGTGACAGAACAAGAGTTAATCCAGCATGGCAGGAACAGGCTGAATTATTGAGCTGCCTCATGAATCAGATGGTTGAGTGGCCTCTGCCCAGCAACAACACTGGCCATTGCTCTTTATTCTTCTCCTTGCCAGGGCTGCCAAAGAGGGGCTCAAAGGTTAATAAGAGAAAGTCTATGCCCTTCCCATTCACAGGTTCTTTAATTTCTGCTTCCAACATCCCTCTGTTGCTGCTGCCAGGCTGAGTCAGAGCCTGCAGAAACACAGGCCCTGGGGGGGCTGAATCACAGCCTCCCACCATCACCAGTAGCCCAGAGCTCTCCCAGCACTGGGAACAGATCTCTGCTTTCACCAGAGCCTCGACTGTGGGAAGCCCTGAACCAGCTCCTCGTCCCTTTTTTAGCACCCATTTTGTCACTCCAACCCCTGTCTCCCTCCAGATACTTCTCACATTTCTCTGGGTGGGCTGACTCATTAAAACACCTCCTGCCTGTGTCCTGCCAGAGGTGTGGTGTTCCTTAGTGCCAACGTGCTCAGCTCCACGGGGATCCCATCCTGCCAGCCTTCCCTGGCCCTGGGAGCAGCCCTGCAAGGGAGCCCACAGGGAAAATGGAGAGGGACTTTTGACAAGAGCATCCCCCTTCCCAGGACAAGGGGGAATGGCTTCCCACTGCCAGAGGGCAGGGTTAGATGGGATATTGAGAAGGAATCCTTCCCTGTGAGGGTGGAGACGCTCTGGCACAGGTTGCCCAGAGAAGCTGTGGCTGCCCCATCCCTGGAAGTGTCCAAGGCCAGGTTGGACGGGGCTTGGAACAGCTTGGGCTGGTGGAAGGTGTCCCTGCCCATGGCAGGGGGGAAAACAAGATAATCTTTGAAGTCCCTTCCAGCTCAAACTATTCCATGATTCTGTGATCACCCCCAGCCTGGCAGTGCTGTGGCACATCACATGTGGAGTGAGTTTTCACATGAACAACCTGGGTTAATATTCCAGCAGGGAAAAGGAAAGCACAGACCTGCTGTACAGCCCTTCCTCTTCAGGATGGAGGCATGGATAAGCCTCATAACTGAATGGAAAACCCTAAAACCAGGCAGCCCTGGTGTTCTAACTCTGCTGAGGGATACAGCAGATCTGTCCCTGACCATGACTGGTAATGAACAGTCACGTCTCTAACTTATTCAAGGGTCTCAAAGAGTTTTATATGGATAAATAAATCCAATTCTTTTAATCCCAGGCAGATCTCCCTGCAAACACTGCCACACTGGGCTGTTTCTCTCACACTGTGCTGTCCATACACAAGTCCCTTCCAGCACCTCCAGGGGTGGGATCACAGTGTGACATTCACTCAACATTTTTAAATTATATTGAGTTACTGCAGGGTCTAACAGAGTTCTGCAAAGCACTGGTTCTAACTCAACATTATTCAATTAGTCCATTTTGCTGATTACCATCTGGGTCACTGTTGTCAGGGTTACAGCTGGCTCGGTGCTCACCCACAGATCAGATTTGAAAATACACCTGGGGATACGGGGATATTAAAAAATAACAGACCTTCAGTGTAACATGATTTCAAACATTCCCACAGCTGCTTTGCTGATCCTTAGGGTGAAGTTCAGCTCTTTAATTTCGACCATTTTAAGTAAAGTGAAAATAAAAAGGTGTTTTCGCGTGATCTCTGCACCGACAGTGGTTGTGGGAAACAGAGAAGGGTGGCCTGGATGATTTTACCTGTCACACTCTGGTGTTCACACAAACCCAATGATCCCCAGGGATTGTGTCTGCTGGTGCAAGACAGGGCTTGTGAGACTTTGATCGTGGGAACATGAGATCTGGAGCACACGTGGATAAAAGTGACTGTCTTTGTGCTGTCACTGTGTGTAAACCTGCACGAGAAAGAAAGGAAAGCAGAAATATTTGCATTTTGAATGTTACTCCTTGTAACTTGCACCTACAAAGCACGTGATCACAACAGCCTGGGTGTTGGGGACATTTAACAGACCTGATTCTGTTTGTAAATTCATAAAAATTAATGTAAGTGCAACAAGACGGGACAAGGAAGAGAGTGAGGTGACTCCTGTGAATTTGGGACTGTGTCACTGCGTGCCCAGGTGACACAGTGTGTGTGAGACTGTGCATTTGGGAAGCAGCAGCTAAAGGAGGTCAGTTTGGGACAAGCCAGTGGCAAAAATAGGCTCATCAGGAGGCCAGAGCTCCAGGTGACAGGAGCACTGACATCACTGGCAGTTCAAGCCCAAAAAAGCCCAAGTCACACAAGTCCAAAGGGTTTGCAGCTGAACTCCCATTAACTCTCCAGCCTGTGGTCACAGCAGTGGTGGGAGCACTGATTGTTTTCCTCCAGAGACAGAGGGAGCTTCCAGACAAGTAATTTGTTTTCTAAAAAGGCTAAATCCTTCTTCCTGTGCAGATGAAGCACTGGCCTGAAGTTCCCAAGGTCTGAGCAAAGCCATCAGTCACAGTCAGCTGGGTTTGGACTGCAGGAAGGGCAGCTCATACCTTTCAGAGACAAGTAGATACATGGGGACAAACTGCTGACCTGGTAGAAAGGCAATTGCTCTAAACAAATGCATAATGGAAAGATGAAAACTGGCCCCTATTTCACTTTCAAGGAGAGAACCAGCCAGATATTTCCTGCCCTAGGGGAGAACCTCCTTCACTGTCTGTAGGTGCCTGAGCCAAAGACTGTAATTGGAGATACAGCAGGAATAATAAATGCCAATTAGGTGGCATTTTCCCAAGCATTCAGTGCTGCCTGACTGTTTTGGAACTGATTTCGTGTACAACTGAACTGGACAAACACAGAGCATGTGGGAACTATCCCATCAACTAGTTGCTTGTTTCCTTCTTCCCTGTCTGGCAGGAGTTCCCACCCCAGACAGAACTGGTCCTGTGCATTTAATGTGCAGGGTCAGGAGAAAATTCCAGCTGAGGTGAAAGTCCCACCTTGGCATCGTGACTGGTGCCACTGGGGAGCAGCCCATGGCATAAAGGAGGACGATCCAGAGGCACTCCAGGAGTCAGTAATGCTTTGAGGAGGAATCTCAGGAACGTGCCCCCACAGGGCTGTGGATGGGGTGACAGACACAGCCATGCCATGTCCTTCTGGGAGCCAGTCTGCAAAGGGATAATCCAGTTTTGTGCCACAGAGGTGGCAGAAATTGCCAGGGAATGGCCCAGAGACCAGCCCAGTCTCCACGTGGTCTCTCTCCTGTACAAAAACTCAAATCACTTTATCCGCCACTGAGACGAAGCAAATTCCACCTTGGGTGGAATGTGACAGCTATTTAAGGATGATGCCACACAGTCTGAGATAGGAAGTGAAAGGAACTGTAACTCCTGCAAATCCAAGGGGAGCAGAGATAGGAAGAATATTAGTCTGCAAATGGGAAGCGGTCCCAGATCACTGGTACTCACACAACCAGTTTTGTATCCAACCAAATGGCAGGGACTGATACCACCCTCTGTGACCATCCTCCCGTGCCAAGGACCTGATTAGAAGTACTTAATGCACTGATGTTCTTATTGAGCATTTTTTGTTTGAGAAGTCCTACCCTAAACACTGATCAAACTCAACCTGCTCAGCTCGATAACAGCAGCTCCATTAAAAATCTGCCTCGTGCACCAATTTTGCCTTTTTCTCTCCCCTGTCAGGAGCTCATCAGTAAACAGCTAAGCAGCAACTTGATTAAAAATGTGAAAAAAGATTTGCTCCTCTCCAGGAAGATTTAATGCAGAGCTGTTTTAAGCTCCTTCCCACAACAGGTTTTCACAACTTGTTGGTTGAAATCACTCACACAGAGCACTGTCTCTCCAAACACAAGCTGTGCTGCCCAGTCCAATTTCTGTTCCTCCCACTGACACATCAACTTATCTCAGCATTCCAGCATCTTCTCCATGGTTTTGATACCTGGCAAAGATTTATGCAGAAGTGACTCACGGTCAAATATCAACAAGCAGTTTACAAGCAGCGTTTCAAAGAGATCCTTGGGGGAGGCAGGGATTGCAGTTTATGGCAGGAGTGTTTGATTTCTACCCTCTTAATGCAGAGCCTTCCAAAAAAAAAAAAAGAAAAAAAAAAGACAATTACCAGTTGCAGAACTGAAAGGGAAATGGCTCAAAAGCTGTTAGAAACAGCAAAACCTGCTGGTCACAAAAATCTGTGGTAACACAGAGGTAGACAAGTAATCCTTCTCTCTGTGTACACAAACATCCTCTCAGGAGGGCACCTAATGCATTTATTTTGGGTTTTTCCACTAGTGCTGCCAAAGCCTCTTCACTCACTTGCTGATCTGACCATGTGTGACTAATGTACAGCATTTTTGGGAGCCTTCAGGACTCTCTATCAGATCCCTGTAGTAAAACATGCTCTATCTGACCACAGAATTTAATGAAACTTGCTGGAACAAGATATTTTCGAGACCAGCATTCCAAGGGCTGACATTGCCCTGATGATGATAAAAGAAATCAGGTACACATTTGGGTTTTCTCTTCTCCTCTGAAATGTAATCCTGGAGCTGTGTGTGAAGAAGCAATTGTACTTGAAAAAGTTCTTTCTTCTAATTCCTGCTTCTTTCTCTCTACACCTTCCTCTCTTCCTAAACTTGCTCTTCTCTGCTTCCTCTGAAAAGTGTTCCTCCCTCCCCTCATCCATTCAACCCATCACAATCCACATTTATGGCTATCTGGGCACAATGAAATTCCACTTTCTGGTACATAAATGATCACTTTTTCTGTAACCTCAGGATTATTCATTTCAAAGGGAGGGAAGTAAATTTAAGGAATTTTCATAAATGCTGGCATCTCAAAAATAAACAAATGGGGTGCAACAGGACTTTATCAAAATCCAAAGAGATTAGCAAGGTCTCGCTGCCTTCAATTATTAACAAAGTACTTGTTCTCCAGAAAAGTACCCATGAAAATTTAAAACAGATGAAAATGGTTGTTCACTTAAAAACTGCTCCGTTAATCTGTGAGAGATGTTTTATTCAAAGGCATTAAATGAATCCTGCAAGGTTTGATATGCCATAATCCATCATTCATGTGGCACAAACACGCGGGGATCGATAAAATGTTGTGTCAAGAGGAGAGGGGAACATGGCATCCTCGGAGGATTGCTGCACAGAAGGCTTGTTTCAATTCATGGGATGGCCAAAATCGATATTAAGCCATAGATTTTACAAACTGGATGCCTCTTTGTTTTTCCATTTATAACCCTGCAGCCTCAGCTTGCAGTCAGAGGCTCAAACGGCTCGAGCTGAAAGGAGAAAACTCTGTCTCAAAAGCTCTGGTATAAATTTGCACCAAGGCAAGGTGACAGTTTCTGGCCTTGAGTTCAGGGATGGCCACATCACTGGGGGTTTGGATAATCACTGCAAAGTGAGCCTGCAAGGAAATCTGGATGTGGTTTATGGGTTGTGCTGGGTTTCTCCCCAAAACCAAGCTCCAAGTGAGATTAAAAGCTTTAGCCCAGCTATCCTTGCAAGCTCCAAGTGGTATTTGCAGGAACCAAATTGGTTTAGAGCTTGAACTTCGACTTGAACCACCTTGTTTTTATTGCTTTCACTGTTTGCATCAGGGCAGGGTCAAAAGAGAACTGTCTGACACCCAGGCCATCAGAGCACGTGGATGTTCCTTTTGTTCTGAGGAAAAAACCACAAAGGAAGGTCAAAACAGGGAGAAGGGAGGAAATCAGTGTGAAAGGAAAGTGTTTTGCTCAGGGTGCCCATTGTACCAGTTAAGCTTTGAGTACAAGGGGTTCTTTTACCCAGTGTGGTTATTGTTGGGTTTATTTGAACAAAAGAATTCTTGTACAAGACCATTTCCTTACGATTCAGGAGGGAAAACCACAGTGCCCAGAAAAGATGTGGCCAGGGAGCAGAGCAAGCCCAGGGACTCAGAGGGTGGAGCCAGAGGGACACATTCCCTGGATTTCTCACCTGCTCCCTCTCGGTGTTTCTGCAATTACTGAGCTCTCCGAGGTGAGATCAGGGAAGAACAGGGCTGCTGATCCAAGCACACAGATTAGTTTTATCTCTTAAGGATAAGGCTACTCAGCCCATGATAGTCTGTTATCTGGATCCCTAATGAGCAGAGATGTAAGGGAGAATCAGCAGACTGCAGTGAGGAGCCAAAGTGAATTACAAGCAGGGGCTGTGACTCTGTTTGGATTGTTCCCTGGTCAGAATAATTTGTTCCCTGGTCAGAGGAACTCCCATTAGGGCAAGGACAAAGCCACACTTTGGGCCACTGCAGCCAGGGGCAGGTGAGGTTTAGCCTCACCCAGGCTAAGCCCAGGAAAAGAAGAATGGAAGTGTGAGGAGACACTTAATTTAAAATTCATTTGAAAACAAGATTAGTAACACTGAAATCCAGACAAGCTACTACAAGGTAAGATGCAAGAAAGGACCATTTCTGTTCATATGCCTCTGGGGCTAATGATGAAAACAGGAACTGTTGTGTCAAACTGGCTGGAAAGGTGCTGAAGGAACCATGAAAGAAGGGGATAAACCATTCTATGAGTCCATAATTAAAATAGTTCTGTGTTTTTCTGACCTGCACTGCAGTGGTTTGCTGGGGGAAACAGGGGCCTTGCCAACCTGACCTTCCCCATCCTGCTAAAGCTTTACACAGCTCATCACACCTCAGCTCACGGAATAATTTGGGTGCATAACAGCCCAAATACGTGGTTTAACTGTGAAATCAGGGAATTATTTCCAGGGAGGGAGCAGATTCTTCTCCAGTTCCTGTGATCCAGTATTAAAACTGCTACCAAGGCTCCAGATCACTCTGTGCAGAGCCTGTGAACTGTTTGCCCTCCCACAGATCTGGGCAGGGCAGCAAGGTGGAGAACAGCTCAAAGTGCACA